ATTATAAGAATAGGGTGATTTAGGGTTAAAAATCAAAATCAAAAGAGTTACAATGGGAAAAAATTGAGGAAGAAAGAAGCTGTCCTTGTGTAAAAAGCAATCCAAAAAGAACTTAACCCAGTTGGTATCACTAATAAATTAAAAATATTAAAACATTGATTGGCATAAATATCAAAGCTCGAATAAATTACAAGAACTTTTGCTTTTATAAGGCATTGCAATTCTTTCTTATTATATTATTTGTAATATTTCATGAAAAATTTATTGGATTTAATTGAATATATGTTTATTTATTTAAGATTTAATTAGAAATATATGAATATGATCATGTTCATGTGGTCTCTCTCGGCCTTCATTATAGGAATAGTTCCAATTTAAAGTGGTTTTACGAAAATAATGACCAATTAAGAGATTTTCTCCAAAACATAAGTATTCTTTAATTAAACGCAACTGCCGTTTCTCCCTTTTATTTTTCTCAGGAAAAAGGAAATTTTTTCCAAAATATATTCTTTAATTAATCAAACACAATTGTTTTTTTTTTTTCCTTTTTTGTTTCCCTTTTATTTTCAAAACTTTAACCGTATTTTCCTGACTTCATTGATTATATTAAAATATTTAGAGATTTGATAAAGTTGGCAGCACAGGGAACTTATTTGGAATAATTCTTAAAATTAGGATTTTGTCGGAATTAACTATCTAACCTCACCTAAATGTTCATTATTTTCTCCAAACCCATCCAACATTGAAATTATCCTTTCATTATAATTCCAATGTTGTTGTCGTGTGTTTGTTCAATTTGCTGTGCTGTTACACATTTTCTCCTACTTTCATGTTGGATTTCAATGGTTCAAAATTTAAAATATTAGTTTTTAGTTTCCCTATCTCTAATTCAACTCAAAGAATTTTAATCTTTACCTTTTATGAAATTGGAACTATGAATATATTGCTATTCAACAGGCTGTTTTGATTAAAAAAAATGTTCCTAATTAAACTTTTGATTGGTGTTTGTTTTTTCATGTCTAACTTTATAAAGTTTTTTTTTTCTTTTATCAGTCTTATATATAAAATTAGTATAATATTGTGCCAAAAATTCCTTGGACTTTTTAAATATATACTTAAAAAATCTTTCTTAAAATCTTCAATAAATATCCAATACATTGTGCTTTTCCTAAACAAAATCTAAAGTAATTTAAATTTAACATATATTAAGTATTGTAATTTAACTTTAATAAGATTTAATTTCTTATTGATTTTATTAATGCTTTTGCAATTTTGAAGGAGACGTGATATATAACTTATATTTAAAGCAAGGCCAGCATGGATGTCAAAGTGATTTATCATCATTTATCTTCATGAAGGGAGGATGATGTAATTTTTGTTCCCATACAAAGGGGTAGAGGTCAAATTCATACCACTATCTTTGTTTTAATGCTTCCTCTTTGGTTGATATTCAATCATTTAATTATATTTTTATAGGCATATTTTAAAGAATAATTATATATATTAATTAATTATTAATATAAAAGTTTATAATCACTAAACACTTGACTAAATTTAATATATGGACGAACTACACAAATAGCAACTTATGGTTTAGGATTAATTAATTTTATTTCACATATATTGAATATTAAAATCTAAATCTAATATTAATAGATTTAATTTCTTATTAATTTTATTTATACTTTTTATTATGGTATTTAACTTGACCTTTCTTTAATATCTTTTCAATTAGATGTCAGTGGGGCTACAATTATATATATAGACAAGTAAAAGGAAAAAAAGAGAGAGAGAGAGAAGAGAGGTGCCCCACATAACATAATTCCAAGCAATACCGTTGTTTTTCTTAATGGTAAACTACAGTGTCCTTGCCCATCACAATTGTGGTCAATGGCCATGGGTTCTTTTAAAAGTAAGTGATATTTAAAAGTTCAAAATTTAAACTTGACAATTCCTTTCTCTATTCCTTCAATTGTATTAATTAAAGCAACAAAAAAAAAAAAAGTTATGGTATAATGGCCATAATTTCTTTAAAAAGTATGGTGACATTTAAAATTTCAAGATTCAAATTTGACAATCCCATTCTCTATTTTCCCATGGTATTAGTTAAAGAAAACTATAGTGTCCTTAACTTTCTAAAGCTTTTAAACTTTAATCCTTAGATTTTAGAATTTGACATTTTGTTTGCTTTCAAAATTCTATAATTTGATCCTCAATCTCACCCGTTTATTCATCATTTTAGATAGAAATGTAAAGGGTGATTTAAAAATAATAATATAAAAGAAAAAGAAGGGAGATAAAAGAATAATAAAAAAATAAATTAGTAATGTAGTGAAAAAAAAAAGTAAAAACAAGTGTAGGGTAAAAAGATAAATGTAATAATAAAATGTGAAGGTAAACTAAAAGATTTAGTGCCAAGAAAAGTAATGATAGATGGTGGGGTAAATGCAAGTTAAGATGTATTGCGATATTAATAGTAAAAAGTTATGCATTTTAAGTTTTGGTATAAAACTTTTCTAATATAGATGGAGAAAGGAAAAAAAAATTAGAGTAAAGAAAGAGATATATAAACATATGTGAGGAATGATAAAGAAAAAATAATTGAGATAGAATCATGAATGAAGAAAGAATAGTAACAAAGTAAACATTAATATAGAGATGGAAAGAGATGATAATGTACTATAGAAAGAGAAATATAATGATAGAATATTATGAGAGAGAAAACTAAAAGATGGAGTCACAAGAAAAATAATAAGAAGTGTAATAAATATAAGTGAAAAAGTATTAAAAAGGAAAATAGTAATAAGCTGTACCTAATTTATTTTAACTTAAAATGTTTCTAATATAGAAAACAAATGAGAGAAAAATTAAGATAAAAAAAAAGGAAATACGTAATAATATCTAAAAATGCAAGGAATAACTAAAAAGTACAATAAATTAGGGAGGATAAGGGGAGAAAGAATAATAAAATATAGATTACTAGCCTAGAGAGGGAAAGAGATGGTGAATATAAAGTATATAAATAAATATAATGATAAATTGTTGAGTGAGAAGATGAGAGGTGGAATCACAAGAAAAATTAATAAGAGGTGGATTAAAAGCAAGTGAAAAAGTAACAAATAATGATATAAATAAATTGTATCTTTTATGTTTTGGTTTTAAAATTTTTTAATATAGATAGTAATACTGATAATTACTAAGGAAAATAAGAGGTGGATGTTATTGGGAGAAAAAATAAGTAAAAAACTGCTAGCATATAGAGGCATAGAGAGGGCGATTTAAAGTAGAAAGATAAAAGTAGGGTCGGGCATTTGAAATTGAACCGATGGATTACTTGAAAATCGAACCAAAAAAAATGAATTTGGTTTGGTTTCAATGATTTTTGGTTTTTATTTTTTTGATTTTGATGTTAATCGAATAAATTTTGGTTTGGTTTCGATTGAATTTTTTAAAAATTGAAAACCAAAATTAAGCCCCTTAAAAACCGAAAATAGGATAAATATGACAAAATATGATAAAATATAATAAAATATGTGATAAAATATAATTTATTATTAGAAAAATAATTTATTAATATTTATTTATCAAAAACCAAAACCGAACCAATTCTATTGGTAACCAAACCGATCAATTTTGTGGAAATTTCAATTCGGTTTCGATTCTCAAAATTGAAGAAAATTTTTTTGGTTATTTTAAAACCGGTTTTGATTTTAACCAAAACCGGTTTTGCCCACCCCTAGATAAAAGGTTGAATGAGAAGTGAAGAGATTGAGTCACAAGGAAAATTAGTGATGAGGAAGTGAAATAAAGAAAAGTGAAAAAGAATTAGAAATTGATGTTAAGAAATTATGCCACTTATATTTTAATCAAAAATAGTCTAGGATGGTTAAATGATTAAGAATTTGATATTTTAAATTGGAGATCTCAAATTAAAATTTTAAGTCGAGATTGAAGGAATTTAAGAAAAAGAAAGGATTATCTTCTTTCATATAGCCTATTATTATCAAATGTACTAAAAAATATTTTGACCAAAAACATTTCCAATATTGACAATAGAAAAAAGAGGGAAATTAGGGTAAAAAATGTATATCCATACAATAATTGATTATGGAGAGCGATTAAAAAAGAATAACATTGAAAAGAAAACTTATGTAAATGAAAATTTATCTTTATTTTTTAAAAATTAAGTTGATAAAATTTGTATACTTAAATTTTTTTTCATATTTATTATTTATATTTTTTTATAAATTAATACATATAAAATTATTTATTATAAAAAAATACTCTAAACTCTATTTATATTTAATTATTATTATAAAATTTATAATTAATAAAATTATTTAAAAATACAAACAAACTACGATAAGCACGGTTTAACATCTAGTTATAAAAAGAAAAAGAAAAGCATATTTTTATTGCACATTAGAGAATCTGACTTAAGTCATGGACTTGGATGGTACTAGAGGCGTTAGTGAATAATACGGATTTGGGAAAAGGAAAAAATGATGGGAGAGGGATCAGTATGATCTATCATCAAAGTTTTTGGGATCTGAAAAGCAATTCTTATTAATAGGGGGACACCGACAACAATAGTCAGATTCGAAAAGCACAAACATTTTTTTCTCAAAAAATAAAAAAATTTTAAAAAAAGCACAAACATTCAGATCAACATATCAAATCAGGACATGACAGATTTGCAAATCCATCTTAATCCTTTACATCACATGCAATACAGTGTTTTGAAAATGGAACGAAGAGGCACGCTCGGTGGACTCAACAACTTTTTAGTATCCAATCCTGGAATTCCAACCTGCCCACTCAACTCTTCCCACGGTTGACGCTTCCCCCAACAAAACAAAAACTATTAATTCCAAAAACAAGACAAAAAATCAACAGGGTAGGTGCATAGATTTCACCTCCTGTATTCTGCTTTTTTTAACTCAGAGTAATATTCAAGAACCCATTTGGCAATCCCCTCTGTTTCTGTAACTTAATCAGCAAATGAGGTCAGTCATGTCCCTCTCCTCTTTCCCGGGTCGATCTTTACATCTTCATCTCTGTTCACGACTATTCAATGTTCTTGATACTTTTGTTGCTAAAAGGGGACTTTGATGCAGTGAAAACCCATCAAAGGTTTCTCTTCATTTTCAGTGTGTTGTTTGTTTTCAAGGTTTGCTCTGCTTCACGTGTAAAGGTATTATTTTCATCATCCATCCTTTTGCTTTTTTGTTCTTTCCTGATTGAGTAGGTTAGCCCGCATCAACCTTGTAATTGGACTGCCTTTGTGTTTTGAACAATTTTTTTCTCTTACAATTTTGTGGTTTCTTTCAGTTTTTTGAATCTTGAACTTTCCTGTTCGAACTAGGCATAGATTTTTACTCGTACTCTCTTTTTGTGGATTATATATCCCAACCCAGGTCTTGAATTTTCCTGTTTTGAAATAAAATTCTCTTTTTTAACTGTAGCCAAGTCTTGAAACTGTTGTTGAGCACCAGTCTTCTAGGATAGCCAAATTCAGCTGAGAGTTGCTGAAGTTACAGAAATCATGGGTTCGTTCCAATGCTTTTGTCTGCTCCTTTTGCTGAAAACCTGTGTTGCTCGCAACCAGTTAATTGGTCAGATATCTCCTGGATTCCAAACATCTCAGATGGAATGGGTAGAGCATGATGGTCTCTTCCTCCTATCCAAAGGTTCTACTTTTGGTTTGCGCTTCTACAGGGGTGTGGATGTTCAGACCTTTTTGCTAGTTATCATTCATATTAACAGCTCCTATGTTGTTTGGACTGCCAATAGAGGCAAGACGCTTGAAAATTCTTCTAAGTTTGTGTTTGAGACAAATGGGAATGTTTACTTGAAAAACGGGGATCAAGTGATTTGGGCTACGAACACCACAGGAGAAAGGGCTGCTTCCTTGGAATTGTTGGACTCGGGCAACTTGGTGCTTCTTGGAGACTACGGAAGGACACTTTGGCAGAGTTTTGACCATCCTACTGATACCCTTTTATCTGGTCAGGAGTTCGTGGAAGGAATGCGTCTCAAAAGTTTCCCTAAAAATGATCAAGACAGTTATTATCTTGCTTTTAAGTCTGGTAATTTGGTCTTGTATATAGGGTACCAGACGCCGCAGTTATATTGGTCCTTAGCAGATGAAAGCAGGAAAACTAATCAAACAGTTAATGGCAAGGTTCATTCTGCATCTTTGGTGTCAAACTCATGGAACTTTTATGATCAAAGTAAAGTCTTGCTTTGGCAGTTCATCTTCTCCCAGAATTCTGATGCGAATGCCACATGGGCTGCCTCTTTGGGTGCCGGAGACATTCAATTCATAAATCTTCTGGGTGGAAAGGGACAGATTCCTGAGGCAATCAAGATACCACAAAACTCCTGCAACATACCTGAGCATTGTGCTCGTCTATTTGATGTGTGCTTTTTTGACAACTTTTGTAAATGTGCCCCACCCGTTCTCTCCAAATATGACTGCAAACCACCAATTGTCTCAAACTGCAGTACCCTCAACAGTCTATTCTATGTTGGTGAAAAGCTAGATTATTTTGCACTCAGGTTTGAAACACCGAATATGAACTCCAATCTGGATACTTGCAAAGAAGCTTGCCTCAAAAATTGCTCTTGCGCTGTACTGTTCTTTGAAAATGTTACCAACAAGTGCTTTTTCTTTGATCAGATAGGGGGTTTTCAGCGCTCTCAGGAGGGGACTAATGGTTACATTTCATATATGAAGGTTTCAGAGAATGAAAATGGGCCAAATTCTGTCAAAGAAGGAAGCAAAAATGGAGAGATTCGCATTCTGTATATTGTGATAATCGTTGTTGGGACAGTTCTAATAATTATTGGTCTGCTTTATGCTGGAGTCTGGTATTACCGCAAACAGAAGAGGTTGCTGAAATCTACAGAAGAAGACTTGGAGGAAGATAATTTCTTTGATAGTTTGTCTGGGATGCCTATTCGCTTCAGCTATGATGAACTCTGTGAAGCAACTAAAAATTTCTCTTCAAAAGTTGGCCAAGGAGGGTTTGGCTCTGTTTATCTAGGTGCAATGCCAGATGGTAGCAGATTGGCTGTGAAAAAACTAGAGGGCATTGGGCAGGGGAAGAAGGAGTTCAGAGCTGAAGTCCAAATAATTGGAAGCATTCATCACATGCATCTTGTCAAGCTTAAAGGCTTCTGCACGGAGGGGCTTCACCGCCTTCTTGTTTATGAGTTCATGGCAAAAGGGTCTCTAGATAGGTGGATTTTCAAGAACAATGATGAAACTTGCGTTTTGGATTGGAGTACAAGATTCAACATAGCACTAGGCACAGCAAAGGGATTGGCTTATCTCCATGAAGAGTGTGAATTGAAGATTGTGCATTGTGATATAAAACCTGAAAATGTCCTGCTTGATGATAATTTTACTGCCAAAGTCTCAGATTTTGGTTTGGCTAAGCTCATGAACAGGGAAGAAAGCCTCGTGTATACAACACTAAGGGGAACAAGGGGTTATCTGGCACCTGAGTGGATTACCAACAATCCCATATCAGAGAGGAGCGATGTGTACAGCTATGGGATGGTCTTGCTTGAGATTATTGGAGGCAGAAAGAATTACGATCCTGGTGAAAGTTCAGATAAAGTCCATTTTCCTCCGTTTGTCTTCAAGATGTTGGACGAAGGAAAAATAAGAGAAATTCTTGATCCCAAGCTTGATGTCAGTGAAAATGATGAAACAGTCATCACTGCAATCAAAGTTGCGCTCTGGTGCATACAAGATGATATGCGTTTGAGACCACGAATGACAAAAGTTGTCCAAATGCTTGAAGGTCTATGTGATATACCGCCTCCTTACTTCTCCTCCTCACAGGCTGCTGGTTCTCGAGCTTACTCTGGTTTTTTAAAGTGGAGCAGTGAAGAGGGTTCATCTTCAGGACTACTTAGTTATGGCAGTGATGCATTTTTGTCAGATGTTCGGTTATCAGGTCCACGATGACAGAAGCCATATAGTTGGAGAACTACCTTTAAAGCACCAAGCTTCAACTAGAAACTGCTAGTTTTCATCCATGTTATTAGCCTTAATTAAGATTTCCGGGTTTGGTATGACTTTAATATGCATATATTTTTGTTCAATATGGCTTGCAATTCTTAGATTTCTTCTGTAACTGTAAAATTGTTAGTATGGCAGAGTTAGTATTGCCTCTTGTGAAGCTTCAATATTCATTGTCATCACTAAAGGTTTTGTTTTGGATTGAAGACTAATCTACATAATGCAACGTATCTTTCTGTTTGAATCTTACAAAGATTTTGTGATTTTGAGTGTTTTCGGTGAGATACCAAATCTCCTTTTCATCTTCTTTTACGGCCAAATGGGTATATGTCGATGCCCCTGTGATATTTTTTGGTCAAAAGCTTCTATACTTAATGAGGGAGGATGCTTTCCTATAGGTAAAAATCTGAAATACAACTGTTTTTCCTGTATGCTTGTTATATTCTCAGGTCTTAAATTTAAGCTTCTGAAAATTGTGAATGTGGTTCGATCAGCAAGGTGTCGGAAATTTTTATGTGAGTTGTCACTTTTTTTTTTTTTTTTGTTAAAAACAAATTAAATAAAAATCAATAAAACTCAATAAATTTATGTAATCTAAGTAAATTTAGATTTTATTTTGTCTTTATATGCATATGCAAACGTGGGTTGTTTAAGGAGAGAACAAAAAAAATTCCAATAATGGTTTAGGTTCCCTTCTCTATTTTTTAAAAAAGGAAATGATTTTAAGATAACTTTTTTGTATTATTTTTTCTGATGTATAATTTAAATAATTAGTTTTTTTTATTTATGTGAGATCTATGATAATAAATGTATTTATTTATTTAATGATATATAAAAATTATATAAAAAATTTATATAAAAAAATTGTCCTTAAAGAACCACCATTTTAAAAATGCTAACTTCATAAATAGAATGCTAAGTCTATAAATAGTAAGGCTAAAAATATGCTAACTTTATAAATATGAATGCTAACCCTATAAATACTGAGCTTATGAATGTCATTGTATAGAAGTCAACTAGTAGAAAAAGAAAATGATTCTAGCTTTTAATTTCTTTCATTTGTTACTTTCTTTTGCAGGCCTCTGGAATCTAAATCAATGGCGTATTTGGTTTTCTGTTTAAACAATCAAAAAAGAAGAAATTTTAATTAAAAATAATTAAGAAGAATAACAAACTAAAATAAAATCTAACCAAGATATGAGTACTAAAGCATTTGATTTAATCATAACGAATTATCTATATATTTCATATTATTATGTTTTAAAATATTTATTATATGTATAATAGTAAGATTTTTTATTTTATTTAATTATTTTATTAAATTATACTAAATTTATCTTTACCTATTAACTCAATATATCTTTATATGAATTTAATTAATAAAAATGTATTATATCTGTCTATTATACACATCTCTTTATGTCAAGGTTTATAGATTTTTAAAAAATTTAATCTTAAGTTTGTAGTAATAGTTGATCTTTAAACTTATGTACTAGATTTATTCACAATTCCCCACAAACATAAAATTTGAGATGTTATATTCTTGCTCTCTATAAACCTCCCACCCAGATGTAAAATGAAGGTTGGAACATATTTGGTTTTTGCCTCATTCCTTTCTTCTTCATGGTCACTGTAGTAAATAAAGGAAAACAAA